ACACACACACGCACGCACACGCACGCACGCACACACAGACTATATATATATATATATATATTATATATATAAATTCTATCTCCTTAAATTTTTAGATTCGTAACATTTACTTCTTTTTTTATTTAGATCTTAATCTATTCAAATGCATATCGATCGGTTTGTTCTTAAATATATATTGGATAGAAATATTAAATTTAACAATTGTATCAATAAATTTATTACGTACGTGGGATCAGAGAAAAAATCTAATTACTAGCAATTAAAGCTAAGTGACGAAGGTAAAGCGCAGTTTCGCGCTTGCTATATGTAAATGGAGACTCTAATAAGAGGATAACCGCAATCTAAAGGAGGCAAGTAGAAAATGCCGCGCGCGCGAACGGAAGTGTTCGACGTGATGGAAGTGGAGAAACCATCGAGGTGCATCAGGTTTCTCCGGTTGCTGTGGAAATTCAGCAGATGCGTCTTCTCTCACGTGACGTTAATCTCCTTGGTGGTTGCTTATTGTCTAATTGGTGCATATGTCTTCGTATCACTGGAGGCGAATCATGAGAGGGAGGTAAATTGCAAGACTTAACAAATACTAAGAATTTCAATTTTTCTTTTTCAATTGACATCTAACAATAAGTTAATTTTGAAATCTATATACATATATATATATATATATTTGAGTTTTACTTGATTAATAATTTTTTATCATGCTTCTGTATTCATAAGTTGTTTTTACGTAATTAATAATATGTAATTAATAGCATGGTTTTAATAATAAATATTCTTGAATCTATATTATTTATAAATTTATTTCTATTTATTATAATCTTAAATTAATTCAATTTATCTTTGAAATTAGTTTCAAAATATACTATATATATATTATTATGCTATATTTATGTTATTTATATTTTTTTACGCATATTATTGCAAAATATTTTCGACTTATTCTTTTAATACTTGTATTAAACAATTATAAATGTTGAATATATTCTTGTTAATTTTATTAACATATATGGATTAATAATTTAGTTGCATAAAAAATATTAAATAATATTTATCACGTAATTTTACTGTGAATTGAAATTTGCTGACAGAAATAGATTCGATAGGAAATGAAGAAAAAGTGATACAGGCAAATAATTTCTCCCTTATGTCAAATATTTCATGTTCGTGTCAATGAATTATAATTGATTAGCGTCGAGTGTTGCAATGCCGAATAAGTAGCGCATTGTTCTTCACCTGCGTTCTCTTCGCAGGTGAAGAAGAGCATCAAGAGTATACGAGAAAACGTTTCTGAAAAGCTATGGGAAATTACGAAAGATTTCGACGTATTGATTCGCGAAAATTGGACGGAGCAGGCGTTGAGCGAACTAAAGGTACGTTTTATGTTTTCGTTTATATAATTTTAGATTATTTTTAGTTGTATAAAACGGAAATCGAATTTACGAATCGCTTCTACAATGACTCGAGAAGCCATTAAAAAAATAACAAATGCAAATTGCAAAATGTTACTTTTTTAAACTTGATTCGATTCGACAGAAGATTATTTGTTCACAAATAATGCGCAATGCAGAAATTCGAAAAATGCCTTCTGGACAAAATGGAGAAGGAAGGATGGGATGGCTTCGAAAAGGAGGATAATACTCAATGGACATTCGCCGGTGCTCTCTTCTATTCCATCATCGTCATCACGACGATTGGTGAGTCGCCATCTAAAGTACTCTTTCAAAATTGTTAGTATAATATATTAATAAAAATCAGGTAAGTTAGTGGAAAAATTTGTTTCCTAATTGAGATAGAGTTGCTATTTCGCACAGTTAAAAAATTTAATTTTTTACCACGAACGTTTCATATAAATAATAATAAACGATAATTCAGAATAATTTATTTCTTAAGAAAAACTAAACTTATTAGCCTCATTATTTTAATAGTCTTTAAAGGAAGAATAATGCGTATTTCATAAAGTTAAAAAATAGGGCATTATTATAAAATTCAATAAATTCATAGTAATTTACACTTACAAATTATATATATATATTTTTTTTTTTTAACTTAAATTAATTATCGACGCTTGAAAAAGTTGTATTAAATTTGAATCTCATTTAATTGTGCATCGTACAATTGCTACAATGAGAAATGTATATTGAAAAACGTACAATATATTTACTTTCCGTATCTCTGTCACATCTTTGGCATCACCACTGAGATTGAGAATAAAGAAATATTGATAAAAGATGTGTTGATCGATAAGAATTTACTCATTACTTTCTAGTATTTTCGTGCGTCTTTGGTTTCTCATTCGTCTGTGTTTGATTCTTGCCCAATGATCTCCCGTAGATGACATAATCGTCAGATTCCGGATCGTAGCCATATGGCCGTAACGACTCGAACTCATTACGGTGATCATAACCGCCGCTGTAGGGCCTTGAGTAATAGTCACCGAAAGACGGATGTTGGTAGCCGCCGCTATATGGTCTTCGATTGCCGTAATAATTCGATGTCGGCGCGAAACCATTCGGTCTGTGCGGTGCACCCTACGAATTATTATTACATTGAAAATCACAGGAAAATTGCGTAGATAAATAAAATTAATAATAGACGATACTTTTTTTAAACTTATCTGAGATTCTAGAAAATATAATTTGAAATATATAAGTAATATTTTAAGTATATTTGAAGTGCACGAATAGATTTAATTTTTCTTCGTTACAGGATAATATCGTACAGGATAATAATGTCCTCCAGACAATCCTGGGAATCTTTTGCTATTGAAACAACAGTACTTCTTCTCTCTTGAACAGTGGCCCTAAAATCACCATAGACAAATTTTGTTAAGTTTTTCGGATTTGTGAATTTTCGAATAAACTTGTAAACTTTTAATCCTACTCACGAATTTCAAGCCGGGCGATGGACAGTTGAAACTGTATCTGCATTTGCAAGTGTCAAACTCACGATAACGGGGATCGTCTCTGACCCATGGCGGTATTGAATCCAAAATACCATCGTGTCCATTCGGTTCAAAACGAGGAGGTCTAAAATATCAATAATGTCCCTACAGTTTCTTACATTGAAAACTAAAAGCGATATTTAACGCGACATTTACTTTGAAAAATAATTTTTTAATTAAAGAATTGAAAAACGAGTTTCGTAAAAGCGGTCAATCGCACGTAATTGACATATGATGACAATTTGAGGAGAAATAATTCAACAGCGGAATTTATATGTTTTATTTACAAAAATAAATAAAACAAATAAATCTAGAGAAATTTATGAAAAAAACGTATTTATAAGACTGAATGATGTATTTCGACATTATAATTTTGTTTATAATTAGTTTTGTGCAAAAATTAATTCAGGGATATTTAAAATATTTTTAGAAGTTATAAAGTCTCAACCGGAACAATCTTACCGCAATGTTCCAGAAATATTTTTTATTTGTAAGATTTCAGACATATTCGAAATCATTTCTTTTGTAACTAAAGCGGACGGATTTTGATGTTGCTGCAATCTTGCAAAAATTCAGAAACATTATGCAACCTATAACTGTAACAGTTTCAAGATTTCAATGTTATGTTCCTACAACAATGCAGAAACTTTTCTGTGCTATCAGGATATACATATTACTGATATATGACAAGTTAGCAACCCGTGAATATGCTCGTAAAATATTATTACGGCTGGACCGTGCCTCATTAAAATTAAATGTACGAATAGGGGGATATCTATTAAGCGATCTCTGTGACGCTATATATATTTTAATCGGATCATTGGAAATTTAATATAGAGTAAGTTAGGAGAATACATCGACGGAAAATCCCAATTTTCCGAGATTAATAAATCTGCGTGAAAAATGCGATGCGAGCAGGGACTCTGATGAAATTACGTATGTCATGCCGAATCGCGCGATTTCTAAATAGTCTTGGCAATTTTAAAAAGTCCAAATTAATCCAATTAATTGATGAATCACGACAATTACGAAATATTTGAATATTTAAAAGAAGAGCTGCAGACAAAATGAATGGAATCCCTGCCGATTATTCCCGTTGGTCCACCGGGACCCACGAGAACGCCATTATTGCCTTGATATGCTGGTACAATTGGTCTGCCATTGGGACCATAAGGGCCTGGATTCTGAGGTCTAAATCCTAATTGAATGCCATTATCGAAATGTTCGGAAGGCTCGTGTACCTGATACCTAAAAGTTGCGCCCGTGAAAACTGTGCCGCCAAGTATCAAGCATATTACAAGTATGGATTCTATTAAAATTGATTATCTGACTTCAGCATGGTAATAATATATACATTGCACAGATAGAAATTAAAATTTTTTTCAAATACTATTAACGTGTAATTATACAATTCTCTTTTTTTTTGTAAAGGATAGACCGCTGTCGTGTACCCTTAATAAAAGGATGTAAAAATAAATTAACGAAAAAAATATATATATGTGCGCCTTGGAGAGCGCGTCTCTTGATAAAGAATTTATCTAATCGATATTGCAGAAATAATATAATAGATGAAGTATGCATAAAATTCGGTAAAACAATTTAAATATTACACGTATAAAAGTGTAATTATATATATATATATATATATATATATATATATTAAATATTGTTATTTATATTATATATTTAATAAATCTACTTAATAAATAATTGATTGTAGCAGCACACCTGGCATTGATGTTATCTCGGCTCGTCTTTTGTTTATTATCGTTCCAAGTCCAGGATTCATCATCATTCTCAGCTGTTGCTATCACGATCGCGGTGAGAAAGATTAAAAGAGAAACACGCATTTTTATTATCCGCCAAATAACAGAATCAAGACCCTTAACGTAATACGTTTAAGTTAATGTTGCCAGAAAAGAAAGACGTACGGGCACGCATAACATTCGTAGCCGACTAAATGAGAGTGAAAGTGAAGAACGTCTTTATATATGCATTGTAGGACGGTGAACGCATCGCTACGTTTCGAGGTCTTTTCGGCTGATAATCATCTACGATCAATGGATCTGTTTTCCTTTGTTCCTAAGCAAATTCCAAAAATTTGGTTGCATCTCGCAACATGCAATATAACATTTTTAAATAAGTAATTCTTAGTAAAAATACAATTTCAAAATATTACGCGTTTTATGAATACTAATAATAGTAATGTAAATTTAAATTATACATTTGTGCATTTATAAACATTGATAACAATTAATAATTAATATTTCAAATTTGTATATTACTAATTATTAAACTTAATAGAATGTAAGAAAATTATAATATGACAGTTGTTTTAATCGAATTACATATTTTTTAAGAGTATCGCTAGCAAATAATTTCTTCGAATTTTTAGCTGTTAATCTATTTTTATCTACTATTTCTGATTTGATTCAAAATTAAATAAGTCATGATCTTTTCAATGCGCGAGATGTGTACGTACGTTATTATAAAAGAACGTCGCATTCCTTCTTTAAAATGAAATTTCTTATTTCCATCTACTCCTATAGGAACATTTGCTTGACTTTTATTCATATTCAGAAGCGTCGTTCTAGCGTGATGGTATCTTAATTTAACATTTAACTGGGAAGAAAGAAACCTTAATTTTCTTTTGTAAAAATAATAATAGTGAGCAATTCGAATTTTTTTTACAATTTCTTGATTTAATGGTAAATAAAATATCAGCATGAATAAGTTTAATAAAATTTATTCTAGAATATATGAGATATACCGTATCAAACTTAATTGTAGCGAAATTATAATGCGCGCGCCAGCTGATTTACAAGCGTAACGTTATTGTGCGATATAGTGTCGGTAGCGATCTGGTCGGATTTTGAGGCCGATTCTTTGAGCGTCCGTCCTTCAGACTGGGAAAACCCAGTTCTTCGACTCCGAAGGAGAGAACTCGCTTGGTTGGTCGCGTTAGTACGCGAGCTCTTTGACCTCCTTCTTAAAGTAAAATCAAGACACATGGCGTAACGTTAATTCCTGCATCTCCGTCCCGCGCGACAGCGAAATTACCATTGAAGATTTTCAGCCATCACTTTTGAAAAATACATCCTTATTACGTAAATTAAATTTGTTCACGAATCTGCATTAAACGTCAAATAAAAACTATAAATTAAGAGCATCTTAAAATTATATGTTCACCTTGTTGTCAATTTGTTACCTTGAAAATTGTATTGAAATTAATTAATTATTTATATATTTTGCAATTAATGTTAAAATACTATTTTATTTTATTACACACACACACGCACACACACACACACACACACACATATATGTATTATATACATGTGTGTGTGTGTGTGTGTGTGTATATTCTTTGTTGAGATAAATTATGAGAGAGACATGGGCTTCCATTTCTTTTATTTGATTTATAACAGATTAAATAAAGTTTGTTCAATCTATAATTAAAAAAAAAATAGTAGAAATTTTTTAAATATTCTTGTAAATATATAATTTTCTGTCAGTTAACAAACTAATTCGAATGTAGATGTGCATCGTTTGCATTTTTAAAGGACAAGCATGTCAAAACAAATACAAAATGCTTTTATTTCGTATGGTTACTTTGAAATTTATTCCTGGAATGGCATCCTTTTATTATGAGATTAAACGCGACAGTTTAAATAGTGAATTTTTATATTCTGGGGGCAGGGGGAGAGGAAACAAGTTAATAGAATAAACTAACAACCATTTTTTATGTAAACTCCAAATTACAAACTGCAAACTGCTCGTGGATACTTCAAAAAAAAGATTCAAAGTATTACAAATTATGATCATATATACTTTGAAAATCTAATTCGATTAAGTAATCTCTTTTTTGAACAAGCGCATTCTTAGGATTATACGTTAAAGGTGAACGATGCTCAATACTTTCACTCGCTTAGAGTACGTCATTATGTACATCATTGCGACACACATTATATGTATAAATATTCAATTAACATACATTCAGATATTTCATTCCAAGTTCAAGTTATGAATTTGTAAGCGGATCCACAATTTTTTATGAATAAATAAATAGAAAATGATCAACAGTATTTAAAAATGTTAAAATATTTATATATGTATAAGTTAACACAAAACCGAAAAGAGAATATATATAATGACAAAAAATAATTTTTAAAAGCTAAATATTTATATTTGGAAAGAAACTGAAGCTGACACGAATAAAATTTTATTACAATTTAGTCTAATTATTTTGTTTATTTTTTCTATCAGAGTGCCTTTAAATAAATGCCTCCAAATGTTTCCAAAATGCAAGATAGAATTAAATACTATAATCTTTTATTATGGACTAATAAAATATTCTCATTATTTCAAGAAATGCTGATCGCGTACATGAGAAATGCGAATCTGCGACAATTTATTTCGTGGTTTTATGTGAAAAAAACACAATGTAAAAAAAGCGAAAAATTTCTTTATTATTTTAATTAATTTCTGACGCTTAATCTTTTTTTAATAAATAATTTTCTACCATTATAAATAAAATAAGAGGTGGCGTATTTTGATTGGCGGTTTATGGCGACTTTTGCTCTGATGTTTTCTTCACATTCATTAGTTATATAATTTTCATATTATCTTAACAAAGGAAATTTTTAATCTTTGATATTAAATATCTCGGCTTTGTAAAGCCTCTAATAAAAATCCTATTGGGAAAAAGTATACATAAAGATTAATTAAATCATACCTTCTTGTTATTTTAATATTTTATTTTTGAAATTTTGTAAGATTTAAAATTAATTTTAAATTTTAATTCTTTTGGTTTATACTTTCAAAATGAACAGCTCCGCATTAAAGTGATTATTCTTAATTCTAGAATATTAAAATTGGTATTTTAAAGGTATTAATTTTGATTATCTTTATTTAATTTGTAACAGAATGTTATTTGTGTGAGTGATATTTTAAATAAATGTACTCACGATACGTCTATTTTAATGAATCTACTTCAAATAGGAAATTAATGTTACACATTCAACAAAACGTCAATATATTCTTTTGCGATCTTGGAGCCATTTTCAGTTTGTAATGCATAATAAATTAGCTTCAATTAAATTAGATATGATTTTGTCGATAAGAAATCAAGGTTTATTGAAATTTTTTGCACATGAATGTTACCTTTTGCGATCGAGGTATCGAGCGAGCTAATCCTTCGACAATGGTAAAAATTAATTTCTTTGACAGGTCCTCGCTATCGTACCAGGCAACTTCCTCTTCTATATTTTTTTCTTTTCGAATAATTTCCTGCCATCGACCTATTTCTCATTCTTCCTCCTCTATCCTTCGTCTCCCCCCTCCCTCTCTGATTCTCTCTCTCTCTCTCTCTCTCTCTCGGTTTTTTTTCTCTTGGTTTTTTCTCATTCAATCGGGATAAGAATGTTACTTAATTCAGGATAAAAAAAAAGGAAAATAAAAGAGACATCTCGCAATGCGGATAGATTGCAATGTCTTTTTGACATGTTAGGATTTTTGAAAAATTCATGTATTCACCGAGAAAAAGGAGTTTTTATCTCACATACTTCAATTCCGAATACTTTTCGATCCCGTTGCATACTATTGCATAATGCACAGTACTATGTTATACTTTAAAATACTGTATGCAAGGAAAATTCTTCTTTCCTTCAATTTCAATATACAGAGTGTTTCATTTTAATTGATACCTTGATAAATAACATAAAAACGGCTAGATTTACAAAAAAATGTTTGAGATTAAAGGTTTGGTTTAAAGAGAGACAAATAAATAGTAAAATCAGTTTTCGAAAAAATTGAGTTTTTAAAGTAAATGTCATTGTCATTTTTAAACGAAATTACATTTTTTAAAATAATATAATACTTTTAATTATTCGATCTGCATATAAAAGTATTAAAGTAAAAAAAATTATTTAAAAAGTCAATAGTTTAGGAGATATTTTATACTTTATTCTAGCATACATTTTAACGTAAAATACAAAATAAAATATTGCGAAAATTATTCATTTTTTGGTAACTGTTTTAACTTTAATATGTTTATGCTAATTAATTCTAAGAATAATGAGATAAATCAATTGATGTAAAAAAAACACGTAATTGCTTTTCAAAAAATTGTACAATTTGTAACTACACATCTTTTTTCCAAATGGTTTTTTGTAAATCTAATCGTTTTCATACTATTTCAATATATCAATTAAAATAGAAAACCCCCTGTAGAAAAAAAGTCTATCATAAACACCACTATTTATAATTGGAACAAAGTCGGATAAAGATACTTATTAGCCTTAATATTTAGTGCCTTATAATTACATATCATAAAAAGGTTGCTCTTTATCACCAAAGTCGTGAAAATCAACCTTGCTCAAGAGGAGATTCCAATTGCCTTTATTGTATATTTTGACGTAGGATCGTAATAAATGACTTCTTTAGAATAAATTACAAAATTGAATCACCAGCTGGATGCTCTGTTCTTACGTTTTTCGAGCGCGGATAAATTCTTTCGAAAAATGGAAAAAGACTCGTTATGGGTGCATTTGGACTAGGTTTCTTGCAATAGGCAACTTCCATCAATAAGTAACTAACAGAATAGTAATAATATAAAAAGATCAATAGAAATTATCCTAGCTGTTGTACTCTGCAAATAGTAGACTTTTTACAGACACCTACTTTGTACAGAGAAGGTCATATACATATAAAATAAATTGATTTTGTTCTAATTAAAAATTATTTAAACACGTAACTCATTGCAATTCAAGTAATAGTTTTGAAATTTGCATAATCAGAATTATTCAAAAAAATTCGAATTTAAAAAAGTAGATAACATTGACCTACTTTTGTATAATTTAGTCTTACAAATTCTATCATATGATTTTGTACACAAAAAAGATCGTATTTTAAATAGAAAATATTTATTTTTTATAATCTGAAATGTTAACAATATTTTCCGACATTCTTTAATATTAACAGCTTGCTATAAAATTATGTTTTATATTTATCCTACAAAACCTTTATAATACACTTTCTCAGTATTATCAGATATTTTTGACATTTTTATATTATTATTCAAATTAAAAAATTTATTATTATATTATTATTATATTAAAACTATGAATAATTTTCTAAAATTATTTTGAGTTTAATAATAAAAAAATGTGAATTATTTCTATTAATTTTGAAAAAACAGTTATAAAATACTCAGGAAAATGATAATTAATTGGAATGCAGATCATGCTGTTGGATAACGGGTCTTATGTAAAATGAAATAATTTCACGTATCATCATTGATAAAGAATCTTGGTGACCTTGACCCAGATTTATAGATGAAATTGCGAGACTGCGCAAGGTCTTGAAAAAAAATCAAGGCCAAGGCAAGTACAGTTAAAGACTTGAACAACCTTGTTAGCTCGTCTTTTTTATTTGAGACTTTAAGTCGATGATTAAACTTGACTTTGAATGTACGCTCCATTGTTGATCGAGTTCACTCAGCAAAATCGCACACGCGCATTCTTGACTCGCGTAATACGACCGAGTTGAACAGATTCTTATTACGCCTGCTTCTATATAAATTACTTTATATATTTCTCATCAAATAAGTCTGTGATCTTGCATCTTTTCATTTGCATTTTATTTTTATTTTCTTATTTCTTGTTTTAGGATATGGTCACATTGCACCAAAAACGAAAAATGGAAAAGTAGTGACTATTTTTTATGCTATTCTCGGCATTCCGCTCATGTTGCTCTGCCTATCAAATATCGGAGATGTAATGGCATCGAGTTTTAGGTAACAGATGATGTGTAATGTGTGTTTGTACACACACACACACACACACACACACACACACGCACACGCACACACACACGCACACGCCACGCACACGCACACGCCACGCACACGCACACGCACACGCACACGCACACGCACACACACACATTGTATATGTGAATTATATGTACATTTAAAAAATGGAAAACTTAACAAAGTTTCGCATGTATAAAACATTTACTAATTTTCATTTGTTACAAATTCATGATATTTCAGGTTTCTATATTGGAAAGTGTGCTGTTACGTATGCACAAAACCACCAAAAAAACGGCGAGGGCGTAACAATCTGGTTAGATCGTATTCTGTTCGTCAACCAGGGTAATTTTACATATATACACTAATACATAACAGGTGCGCGTTTCGCGCGCGCAGCGTATTGAATCCCATACATCTTCCAATAACATTTACATTTTAATTAAACAAATGTTAACAATTTTTGATAAAAAATAAATTTTCAAAAAAATGACGCTTTGCGCGCGGTGCGTATTAAATTCCATACATCGTCCAATAACATTTATACTAAATTACATTTTAATTAAACAAATTTTAACAATTTTCAATAAAATGACGTTTTAATCGGCCATATTGAATCGGCCATTTTTAAATAAAATCATGATTTTTTTAGAAAATAGCCACATAATTCATCTTTAAGATAAGCCCAGAAACAAGTCGGTATTTTTATTTTTCTGGAAGATATGAATTTTTAAACATTGGGGAAAAGAAGCTTCAATGCAGATAACATGACATTTGATTTTTAAGATAAACATTTTTTTTTTAATTTTTTATATTAGTTAATTTTTAAACTAAAATTTTTTTTTGAATATTTTTTATATCATTTGATTTTTAAAATAAAAATTTTTTTTGACCCACCATTACCCATCACCACCACTCATCACCACCACCACCACCCCCCACCATCACCAACTACCACCACCACCCATTATCAACACCCACCACCACCACCCACTACCATCACCCACCGCAACTACCCACCACCACCATTTTTTATATCATGTGATTTTTAAAATAAAAAATTTTTTTGAAAATTTTTTATATTATGTGATTTTTAAAGTAAAAATTTTTTTTAAATTTTTTATAT